TACTCAGTGGACAAATATTAAGAGTTGGTCGCTCGCTACCACAAAATAACATAACCATGAAAGAGAAGTTAGCACTTGTACTAAATATATAAGGACTGACGTGTTGTAAAAATGTGCTCGGTGCAGCAACTAATTTGTGTAACATTTTAATTTTGATGGTTCGTTTCTGCGGCTGGGAAAAGTTTCGGGAAGGAAATTGTTGCAGATGTGAATTTATGAATGCAGTTAAATGTAGGTACGTGGTATCATTTGTGCACCCGCGCTTCGCTTGAACGGTCGAGTTTCTGTGGGTACAAAAGTCTAGACAGTGGATGATGCAGCTGTGCATGACTGTATGTGGTGTTCAGACTATTGCTTCTTTCCTTTTCGGTGTTGTTGTAGATTTGCTGGTGTGTTTGGGATCATCTTCCTATTGCATGAGCCACGTTTTAGCTGTCGGACAGAGGGCCTCACGTTTGACTCGAGCATATTTTGGCAAACAGATGAGTTCATCTTCAGCTTAGTAACTGCAAGATCCTGTGTCTGCAGAATAAACCCAAATCATCACCTCTCCACCGCCATGCTTGACACCTGCTATAAAGTGTTGGTGCTGATATGCTGCTTTTAGTTTTTACCAAATGTGGTATTGTGCATTATGGCCACCACTCCAAAGTATACTGATGCAGAAACCTTGTAGGGTTATCAGATGCAAGTTTGCAAAGCAAAGCTGCGCTAACACGTTCCTTTCTGCAGACGACTATATTTTTCAGTCGTTTTGTAATTAGATTGCCATGAAGTTCTGCTTTTTATAGGGGTGTTCACACTTGCTGATCAAGTGTATTTGGTTAGCAGCGGTTGGCTCCTACTTGCCCTGTTATTTCCTATAGAAGGAAAAAGGGCGTACTTAGTTTTTCATGGGACTGCATAGAGTGGTGTGAAAACGCTCTTTTCCACATGATTGCATGTGGTAAGTTGTATTTGACGAACAATCTCATAACAGAGTTTTGATCTTATTTTATCTCACGTGCATTATTTTTTCCAGCATGTAGCATCATACGAAATCTCTTATTGTTGCTTCTGCTGACCCACTGCTTCTCCACGTATGCAAATGACCTCTGCTGAGCCCTGACCATAACACCATGGAACACATATAGGCTAAATGTGACAGTGAGTTTCAGCTTATGAGTCAGCATCACTTCAAAGGCTTGCAGGCACATTCCACAATCCTCTGGAAAGCCTTTACATACATGTGGAAAGCATTATGGCACCATATCAATGCCAATTGCTTTTGAACACCATGTACAACAATCAATCACAGTAATTATTAGGGGTGGGGGAAAAAATCGATACTGTGTAGTATCGTGATATTTTGTTTGCTAATAATGTATCGATACAGGGACAGCAGAAATCGATATTTTGTTACAAAAAAGGTTTTTGTGCTCTGA